TATAAAGTTCCTTTTCATGAAACCGGAAAGCTGAGACTATAGTTATGGGTAAAGCGTTACGTGAGGACAAGGCGTTAAACACCGTTTATTTCAGTCGAAAAAATGGAATGAGCTGCTCCTAAAATTAAAACATCTATCTGTGGCAGGTAAAAAAGTGAGAGGTAGGTTCATATATCATTTCAAATGAAGAGATTTGTGGAGACAATTTCTCGAACAATAAGAGATAATGACGTCCCTTGCCTGGCGATGACACTTCTAAAGATATGGTCGCGGTGATACTCGCAATAAAGCAGAAAATTAATACCAAGAGGTTATAAAGGAGCTTGCATGCACTCCTCTGGCACCCTGATAAGTTCCTTTCTCGCTTTGACAAAAAACATCCGAAGAGGATTGCCCGAAATTAACTGACGGGATTCTCATTATATCTAAATAGCTCAAGTCAGTCCTACAGACAGATATGAATTGCTGTTGAGTTGAAAAGTCATCAGAATCCCGACATCGTACTGTATTAAACAAAACGAAATCGTTCGCAGGGTTCTTTTAGGTTCGCGACTGAGTAGTTTCTTTATTAACTATCACATTCTTCACCTATTCAAACCTTTGTCAACTTTGGAGAAATTGTCATTATGGGACCTTGTTGTTGTCCTTGTTCTGTTAAAAAAAATTGTCGCTCCTAGATTTAAATAACGCTACTTAGGTAATAGTTAGACAGGGTAAGAATTTGGAGACCTGCAGTACTCAATTGTAAAAAGATATATATATATATATTTTTTTAATAAAAAAAAAAACGGTATAAATCATTGTCGCTAATTCAAAACGAGAGAAAAATACCTCAACGCGTTGAAAAGATGGGGGAAAAAAAGGGAAACTTAACGTAGTCGGCAGGATTCGAACCTGCGCGGGGAGACCCCAATGGATTTCTAGTCCATCGCCTTAACCACTCGGCCACGACTACGAACACAGTCACGTGAGGCGGATATTGATCTATAAATATAACGAAGTATAACGAACAAGCCGTTTTGCATTATTTATTAAATGCCTCCATTGGCAAAAAATTAAAGATTTATTGTATTAGTCTGCGTCATATTGTTAACTTTTTTTCACGATAGCTGTAGATACGCGATGAAAAATTATAATTTTGAGAAAATATGAATTTTCACAATCTATATAATTAAACTATAAGTATCAAACAAATTTTATGGCAATTAATTTTTTGCTTTTTCATAATGACTGTTTCTATTATTTTTCAGACTGGTTTTGTAAATTATCAACTTACCTCATCAGTTCTAATTTTTCTACAGTTGGATTAAAGCTAAATTTCGGCATTATGACTTGGATATCAGATATTCAAGGAATCAATCACAGAGACTTTCATCTTGATGCCACCATTAGCTTGTCAGACACAATGACCAACCACTGAACACGTTAACAGCATGGTGTCTGTCCAATCAGAAGAAACAATGGCACTACATATATACCTGTGTGATCTTGGAGACCTAAAGATGATTAGCTGTGGAGCAAGGAGATTAATCCACATTGCAAGGCATTCGTAAGATTGTATTAAAAAAAGTAACCTGCCCATAAAACATAGTCATTCTTTGGAATCTTTTGTATAACAGCTACATGGAACTTTCTCTTTCCCCCACACTCTATCGCCATATGCGGGAGAGGCATTGGCCAAATGATTAGTGTGCTGAGCTAGACTCCAAGTCAGGAGGCCAGGGTTCAAGACCTGGCCCAGCTGTTGTGTTTTGTTTGTCGGCAAGACACTTTACTTTCGCAGTGACTCTTTTCGCCCAAAACTAGTAAATTGTCAGGGAAGCCTAACGAAATGCTGGGAGGTAACCTTGGGATGGACTAGCATCCCATCCAAGGGGGGTGGGTGGACAGTAATACTCCTAATCCTTTCATGCTATGAAAACCATGATAAGCTCCATCTGGATGGACCACTTGACTTAAGTGACCAAGACAGAACTTTTCCCCACAATATCAATACAATATCAAGCAAAGAAGTGATGAGGATAAAGAAAAATATCAATTAGGGAATTTCTAGTTGATCCAATTCCAAATTCCCCAAACTAACTTTGTGAGAATTGTATGGCAGACAGTAAGGAGAATCTCTGATGAGATCTTGGGATTGAAAGGCTAAACCTTTGAGGGTGGCCTAGCTCACCTCTCCTTACAGTAACACTGCTGAATCAAGGTTAGGCTCCAGTTTTGTATCATGCAGTTGTTGTTATAAAGAAATGTCCTCCTTCACCACTGCCCTCCATTTGCTCAGAAAACCAATAATTTTACATGAAATCGAGCCTCCTCCTTTCTTTATGCTCCCTTTAACTTTCAGATGTATCCTATTAATGAACATGGTTTGGCATTAATCTTGTAAAAATTACCAGCATTCCAATCTGTGTGACATCTCAAACTCCCAAAAATGTTTTTTAAATCCTACCTCATCAAAATCTGGAGGGCTTATTTATATACAAATACTTTGGTAAACAGAGTTTAGTCTTTATGTCTAACTGGAAGATAAATCGTAGTTAGGCCAAGGTTTATTCATTTTGTTATAAAAAATGCAATCTCATTTTAACCTGAGAAACAAAAGTTACAAGTACTTAATAAACTTGAACTCTTTAACACTCAGAGTGATCAAGACACTTTTACACTTACAATACAACATCCAGCAGACAAGTGATGAGAACAGAAAAAATATCAATTAGGGGATTATTAGATGATCCAATACCAAATTCTCCAGACTAACATTTTAAGAATTGTATAACAGACAGTTATATTGGAAATGAGAGGGTTGAAACTCTTAATAAACTTTGAAAAAAACCTTTTTTTGTTAAATGGGGGCAAATGAAGAAGCAACATCACTTCACTTGTGTTGAATACATTTCTTCTTTGCTTTCTGGCTTATTTTACTGCTTAAACCAGCATATGTCCATGGTAAAATCCTAAATCACTGAACAAAGTGTAGTCCCATATTTCACTGCTTGGTTGTTACTCAGGCAAGGTTGTTCTTAAGCCTTTAACCTAAAGGGGTGACTTCCATCTCATTTCTCCTTACCACATCACCCCTGAATCAAACTTTAAGGTTGTGAGAATAAAGGAAATGATCACCAACTAAAGAAGCTCTCAATTGTTAAACAATATCTCCTTCTCAGCACCTTCAGAAATTTGTAAGGAACAGTACAGAGAATATGGATACTGATGTTAAGTTAGGGGTTGAGGCAGATAATGAGATCAGATTCCATGCTCAGTAGCAATAAGCTGCTATTATAACAGTTAACCAATATGTAGTCTTTGAGAAGTGGATCTTCACCAAATTGTCTGTTTAGTACAGCAGGTTTTTTTGCTTGCTCTCTGGCATATTTCCCAACTTCCAATAACTAAGTTAGCTCCTTGAAAAACATGAAGTGTTTGCACTGTCACCATTAGATTTCTTGCAATGAACAAAACACAAATTAAGGGATAAATGAGACTTTTCTGCAACATCAAGGAAGAACAAAGTTAATGCTGTATTCCCTCCGATTTACCCCTCTCTTAACTCAGTCACATTTAATTTACCATTTAGGCACTTTGTAGAATATTTTTAACCCTTGAGGGCTCTGTATATCTTTTAAAAACAAACTTTTACTAACAAATTTGTAATAACTTTTACCGTGCCTAGTATATTGCTATCTTTTATAAGATGATGTTCTTTTTATTTACCATTTATAGGCCTGATGGCTTACCTCAAGTGGAGAGAAATGTGAAAAAAATAATTGATAACAACAAGGCACTTAACTTCAACTTAAAACTGTGGCCTTTGTTAGACTCCAGTGTGAATCAGCATCAGACTTCCCATACAAATCCTAAAAAAAAATTGTACTAATCTTGAGAATGGAACGGCTGAGGAAAATACAAAAATGAACCCTTTGACTTCTTGCAAAACATTGCCACCAATACTTTGACTTACACTGACAACCTTCATAGAATCCATTTAAAAATTTCTTCATCAATTTCTATTAGTTTCCATCTAGTAGTCTGCAAAATTTTCACTTCAAAATGTCAATTTAGCTTGAATCAAGCAAAACTGGGATGGACCATAACTGAGACTAGGCATGGAACAACTCTACAACAGCGAGACTTCTTTATCCTGAAAAATATTTAAATTTCAAAGGTACAAGGTCCAAAACTTCTATTCCAAGAAATCGCAATCAGTATTCAAAAAAAATTGAAATAATGTTAGCCATATTTACTACATTGACCACATTTATTCAGGAAACCTCTATATATTTAACTGCACTCTGAGACCTAAAAAGTGAATATAAATTGAACAGTTAAAAGTCTTAAAAATATTCTTGTGATGGGATATATTACTTTTTATTAGCACAAACCATAAACAAAAGCAAGCGAATAACAATTATTATCATTATATTTACATACTAATTTAGCTCAAGCAGAAAATATGTTGTCATGTTTTGTAGCTCACTTTACAAAGTGAATTACAAATGTCCAAATCAGAGCCTTTGATCATACACCACAAATATTATAATTACTTTAAGGGAGAAATTACACATATTTGAAATCGCACATGCGGTAGATCTGGATAAAAATACCAAGATGTATTGTTTACCGAATTGAATTGGGTATTGTTCACTCGCTCTCCTTGCGCGCATGAGCAAAATAATTTTGTTGTTCTCAACAAAAAAAACTGTAACATTTTCTCGCGAGCGAGAATAGATCTTCGCCAAAAAACGTCCATTTTACGCTTCTCGAAAAAAAACCCTAATGAGCTGAAGACTTCAGTAGTGTGTTAAATAAATTAAATGGAAACAAAATGTGTCGAAGACTGTAGTTTAAAAACTGTTTTCAGTCGACGGCGAGGACATTACTTAAATGCATATCACGCGCCGCGCTTAGATCTTGCGTTCTTTCGACGCGAAATCTTTCTTAATTCAGCGTTTCTTGGACTTGAAAATTAGTCCTCAGTGCTTTATGGTGTACAGAGTTTGAGTTCAATACTCGTACATCTCGTAGACGTTGCCTTTAGCTTTCGGATGGTGACAAGCACCGTGTGAATGATCTGCTTTCTTCGCGGGAGTGAAAGGTACTCCACCCGTTGTTGTCGCAGTGGCTGCCGTGGCTTGCGCGGTAGCAGCTTTCTGTTTCAACATTGTCCAGTCGAAAATGTAGTCGTATTGGTAATTCAAAGTCCGAAATAAAATCCTGAACAACTGACGGAGGTACATGTAATCTGGGTTCTCTTCAAAGCGAAGTCCACGGCAGTAGTTGAGGTACATCGCGAACTCGGCTGGGAAACCTTTGCAAAGGACTTCGACAGGGGTGGACATCTTTTTCTCGCTAATTTTCTCATATTTTTGCTTCTTAGTGGCTGCCTTTAAGCCTTGCCATGGCAGACTGCTTCGATTGAAGTACATCAGTACATAACCAAGTGATTCCATGTCGTCTCTTCTCGACTGTTCGATGCCAAGATGGGCATTGATGCTGGCGTAGCGCGCTGTTCCAGTAAGGTTTTTGTCCTCGCGATAAGCTATATGCTGTTTGGTTCGAGTATCGCGGTACTTCTTCGCTAAACCAAAATCAATCAAGTATAATTTGTTGCAGTGCCTGCCGACACCCATCAAGAAATTATCGGGCTTGATATCACGGTGAATAAAGTTCTTGTTGTGTACATATTCAACTCGACTAATCATTTGGTCTGCTAACATCAGAACTGTTTTCATTGTGAAGCGACGCGAACAGAAATTGAAGAGGTCCTCTAAACTCGGGCCAAGCAGATCCATAACCAATACATTATAGTCTTTTTCTTGACCAAACCAACGAACAATAGGGATTCCCACGCCACCTTGAAGGATTTTGTACAGCTTTGACTCGTAAAGAAGCTGTGGATGACGGGCTTTCTGAGACTCGAGCTTCACGGCGACTTCCTCCGCATTGCTCGAGGACACTGCCAAGTATATATCGCCAAAAGAACCGCTTCCAATCTTGCGAATAAGGCGGTATTTGCCTCCAACTATGAATTCAGACCTGGAACTACTACTACTGCCGCTAGCCATAGCGAAAAATTTCTTTCCTTGACAAGAAGATGTGAGTAAATCTTGTGCAATTAACCAAACATCCACCCAACACACGCCATATTCTCGAACACTAACAACTCAAAACAGTGAAAATGACGTGGGTAGCCAAGGGCTCCCGCAATGGATTGTGGGTGACGCACTCTTTCTTCCGGTCTAATTTACGATAACAAAGTAATAACTCTTTCCGCTCTATTACCTGTAACTCCTACTACGACAGAAGTCGGAAGTTCAATCCAAAAGCCCTCTCCTAAAACTATCATTGTCCTAAATCGCGTTATATGCAGGTATTAAGCCAAAAAAATAATTCAGTTTGCCCGTCTGCAAGTACGCAGGTCGTTTTATTAGATCGTTTCATTTCTCAATCAGTTGGCTGTGGAGCTGACATCGATATTTTTATTTAAAAAGATTACTCAATTTCTAGGTACGGTCATGGGAAAATCTAACACGATGCTAAATGCGAGACGATTTTGTAATTTTTTAATAGTTGAAATTCATAAACCGGAAGATAGGAATTTTCGTAAGCGGGTGTAAGACGAGACATCAAAGAAACGTAACTAATCACACATCTGTATTGCCACTGAAGGAAACGACTTTGATTCGCTGGTTTCCAACCAAATCCCAAATATGGGGCTGATATTTGATTATAAATTATATTATAATGTATCTAACGCGTAGAGGATCCAAGAGTTGACGTTGAAAACGATGAATTTTAATTTTAATGACAAGTCAATCAAGGTAACATACGCAATTCTTACGTGACTAAGCGTGGGTCAGGGCCATAATGAGAGAGGCAGTCTTTATGAATATTTATTTATAAATTATGTAAAATACAAAAGATGTTGAACCCATTAAGCCTAATTTTTTTATGTTTTAATCTAATTATTTTTCCTAAGCAAAATTTAAATTTACTTTTTGTAGGACATCAAATTTTAATATTTCTTAGTTAACTTCATTTCGGTAACAGTTTCTCAGTTTTATTCCTATCAGAATTGACAAAAATCCTAACAGGGCGTACAAGCTACATCGACTATTTTTTTTCAGGGTTGAATCGGATTTTTTTTTTTGGTTGGTCTTTTTAATTGGGACCTTGATTATCCCACGGATTATGACGGGCAATTCTGGGGTTAAGTTTAATGGAACAGGTCACGAAAAATTCAAATGGGATAATGGAAACACAAAAGAGATAATTTCAACAGCTTATCATCCCCATTCTAAATTGCTTTTTGTTTTCCTCACATGCGTCATCACAGATGAGAGTATACCCTTTATTTTGACATTCACCCTGTTTAGAGAAAACCAAAGTCAAACGTGTTTTTCATTAGTGACTAATTGGCTGGTATTGGTGTCAACTCAACAAAGTAACATGTGGGGCAATGGCTTACAGATATACTGACTCATCCTCTCACCAGCTGCTTGTGAGGTTCCCATAAATACCTAAAGAAACCACAACATACCAGGCATAGCAGAGAAAATAGGGGAAATATCTAGATATGGGGATTAAAATTTGGGACCTTTCCCAAAAACTTTTTTGTCCATTGGGGCATAAAATTAAGGATTTGGAGGCAGAGGGCACACTCTCCCTCTTCATCTCCCCCCCCTCCCAATTCCCTCCTGGTTCTGCGATCACAACAAAGCTGTTTTCTAGAAAAATGCCTGCTTAATGATTTTGGCTCTTTCATAATGGCATAAATTGAAGGGGAGCATGTATTAAGCTCTTACTTGCCACTGATAAAATGTGTTTCACAAGAGAGAATTTAGCAGTCTGCCGAGAGTCACAGAGGGTTTTTGTCCATGAATGCCTTCAATCAAGTGGGTGTTACATCTACACATATTGCCAACACCAGATATAAAAGTTGCACATCAATAATATCTAGAGTGTATTATATTTAGGACTTTGAAGGTTACATAATATAACTCTATGTCTGCAGCACAATAATTTCAAAAAGTAGCTGTTATTTGTTATCTGTAATGAATACACAGATTATAAAATTTCATTTTTCATAAATCTTTGTATGAGAAAAATAATCATTGTTTTAGCAATAAACTAAGAAATGTAATTTGAAATATTCAGGTCTAAGATCAATTTTTGCACATTATATTAAAATCATATAAAATTTTTGAAATGAGAGAAACATAAAGGAATTGGCAATAGTTTGATATTGGGGATAATGCACCATGGTTTTATTGAAGTCTGAACCCATGAGGGTAAGAGAATGATAGCTTCAAACTGAATATAAGGTAATTTATGAGGTAGTTTTCTTTACCTTGATCTAACAGAAAATTCTCCTTACTAAATTACAATGACATGTGTAGCTGCTAGAGGGGAGAATAAATAACCAGATCTTGAGTGAAAGGATTAATTGCTCATTAGGTACTACTCTGAGAGCCTTGCTGAGTTGCATTTAAAGTAGTCATTATTCTCTTACATTACAACAGCAGTGACAAACTGAATTTGCATCCCTCCAAACTGCAGCACATGGATTGATTATCTTGGGCTAACTAATCTATCTCACTTTATTTCCAAGATAGCCCACTATTATTGATGTGTGACAGTAAATAGCACAGTTCACAGCTTATCAAGTCCTCAAAAGGTTCTTCATCAGATTGACTATGACAAGCACCTTTAAGAAGTTTGAAAAGGCTGGATGCAATGATCCATTTGCAAAGATTTCTTCATCAAACTCAAAGCAGTCTTCATCTACCACTTGGAAAAATTGCGCTTCACAAAAATGTTTTCCATTAGAATACTTAGCCCCAATGGAATTTCCATCATATTTTGCATCCTTGCAATGGGTGTAGATATCATCACAGAAACTTTTACAGATGTGAACTTTGCCTTCTCTCAACCATTTGTACTGATCTGGGCTGCAGAAGTAGCACATCATGTAATTCATGCGGTTTCGGCAGTCATCACTGGAAGTTGCCAGGTGAGGCATTCCTAAAAATGATGACGTCACTTCTGTCCTTGTGCAGCAGGAACTCTCTCTATACCATGTACAGTTGGAGAGGCTGTAAGCTTCTTTGGGTTTCCTTTCACTACCTGGAAGATGGAAATAGGGATTAACCCTGTGAGTGACTCGCATCTACTTTCTCCTTACCATATCACCCCTAAATCACACATGAAGGTCATGAGAATAAAGGACACGATCAGAAACTAAAGAAGCTCTTGATTGTTAAACAAATTCTCCTTGACAGTGCCTTAGGAAATGTATAAGGAACAGTATGGAGAATGTGCATACTGATGTTAGGGTGTAAAGGGTGAACATGTTTATTTTTCTTTTTTACACACAATGAAAGCTGATCTCTCTTTTGAGTCAACTGGACACAGGGTTTAACAATGGATATTATAGCAAGGTCATAAATATGTTATTTATGAGGTTATGGAATGATCTACATCTAATTTCTCCTTACAGAATTACAGCTGAATCAAACATGACTGTGTCCATCAATTTGAATCTTCAACATCTCCCTATGAGCAACCCCCTGAGCATTTAAAGTTTTGAAGACTGATTCCTTTAAATTCCAACTCCCTTTCCCAGGCAAAAATTACCTTGAAATGCCCTACCCAAGCACAATTTTTGAATTGAATAAGTCTTCTGTGTGATCAACAGATGTTGCAGAATTTTGCAAAGTCAAAAATTAGTTTTTGGTGGCATGGTTTGTTTTCTTACTTGTAAGCATCATTTTGAAAAGTGAAAATTTCCTTCTAAGCTACTTGTTCTTGAAGCTAACTCTTCATTTGAAACTTCTCAATATCAAAAATTCAAACACCTGCATTCAACTTGTTAAGATTCCCCATCCCACCCCAGACAAGGTTCAAAGATGCCTAAGGCAAAGATGACTGTTCAATACCTATTGGTTACCTGTCCCCAGGGGGGAGGAGGTTGAAGAGTTGAATTGAATAAAGGAAACAATCACTGACAGAAAAAGACAAATTCTCCTTGTTGGTTTAGGGTTTGAAGGGTATTGCACCCAGCAATCTGTTTCTTGGACTGGAGAGTGGCAGTGTCAAGGGATGACCAGCATCCCATTACACTGACTGACAACCCTGCATAAGCTTTTTGATCTGTCTCAATCTTACCAGCATCCCTGGGATCTGTGAGAATTTTTGCCCATTATTCAAATGACCATTGTGGATTTTTCTCCTCAAGGTATTTTGTGACGTAATGAGTACATAAAACCAGAAACATATTTACCCCATTGAATAATTTGTTGAGCGTGTAAGGAGATTTGGTATATATTTTGCCATACACATATTGACACAAGGAAAATCGAGACAAAAGACAATAAATAATCACTTGGAATAGTAACAGAGTCTGGATTATAGAAAAGCGACGATGAAAAACGCGAGGAGAAACACGATATGTACGCAATGAAGAGTCACATCTGAATATGCCCTTTGCACCTTGGCCGCATTGCACAAACGGCCATGACCATTAGTGGCTTTCTCAGATTAGCGATACTTTCATGGCACGAGCTGGATTTAAAATCCTTTTACCTTTCAGGTTGACGTGAAAAGGTTAAAATCTAGGAAAATAACCTAATTATTAAAATTGGCCGCTTTACAATAAGGATCCCTGAGGTCATTTGATTCGATAGACTATGAAATAAGCTTAGTTGCATACGAGACAAAAATACGTAAAAAAAAGAAAAGATTCATACCATAATAAGAGCATATCTGGCGCTGTGCAAAGCATTCAGCGAAAAGAAAACCCATTAAGAATCTTGTGATCAACAGAGCCAGCTGCAGCGATTTCGCCATGTTATGTTTTGGAGAAGATTTCGGTATATTCCCGTCCAAAATCGGAAACTCCGTGAAAATCCGAATATTCTTCAACCAATCACAAGGCAATGAAATAATACGCCGAAATCGAGGTTGGAGCCGAATCCAGTGAAAGTATGGCGGTTCTTAGGAAAAAAGGAAAGTCACAGTGGAAATATTTAAATGTGCAATTCGTAATCGAATGGATAAAAATACTGTTGTTTGATCCAAGTAAGACCTGGGTGGTGGGCCTTGTTCTTTTGTTTGCAGAGATTGTGGTAAATGTTATAGTCATCTGGAAAATCAAATGTGAGTACAATAATTACTCCTGTGATCAGCTGGTGTGATTCTTGTGTTTTTCGGATTTCATTATGTACTGATAAACTCTCTTTCAGATAGAAATATGATTTTTCCTGTTTATAAAAATTTTCGTCGCCTAGAATCTGCTCTTAGTTTATTTGCAAGGAATAGCAATGTACCGAAGTATCAGTCGCGTGATTTCTGTGGTCAGGAAGACAGATCAACCTTTTGGCTCCAAGGAGCTAATTCGTAAAGTGTATTTTTTTTTGGCATCAAGTAATGGACAAACAAATATTCCCGAAATATAGGTGGCCAGTAAAAATTTCATACATTTGAAGCAAGTTTATTTTTTCAGGTCCAAGCTGGAAGAACATGAATTTTAGCTAAACCACATAACAAAACACTAAGCAGTGTCTAGAACAAAGACAGTCTTTATTACCACTAGATTACTAATGTAATTTAGATGCACATCACCTAATAATGGGTGATGTTTCCCAGTTCTCACAGAAATTAAGATAATTTATTTTCAGATCTCAGGAAAATACACCTTACAGATGAGCTATTGTGGAAGGGACAAGCTATTAATTATTTCCTAAATTGTTTCAATCTTTTTATGCCTTTGATCCTTGGCACTGACTGGCACAATTGAATTTGGCTGGAATCTCTGTTGATTTCTTATGGTGTGATTGGTTAATTTTACTCAAGTTACCTCAGTAACATTAGCATTACTATACTTAATTCATTAAGAGAACTGGAAACATTATTATTTGAATATGCTTGGATTTATAGATACAGAGATAGATTGGGAAGCATACATGGAAGAAGTTGAGGGAGTTATAAATGGAACATATGATTACAGATTTCTGAAAGGAGCAACAGGTCCATTGGTGTAAGAGTGAATTTCTCCTTTCTCTCACAAAAATAGAAAACAAAAGAATGAAAATAAGTAGTAAGAATAGTTTTATGCTCATGTAGTTTGGCATATTTACCCTCCAACTCCCAAGATCTGAGTGTTAATTCTCTCCTCTAGCTGCTACACATTTCCTTCTAAATTAGTTACAAGAATTTGGTATTAGATCAAGATAACAACTTCTATCTGATGCATTTAAGTATTCTCATTACCTGTTTGTTGGATAGTGCATGGATATTGTAGGGAGAAGTTACTTGTAAATCACCTCTGGGAGTTAAAGGGTTTAAAGGGGGATTTCTTAGGACTAGTTCAGAGAGCTACAGTTATAAGCCTTCCAACTTTAACATCAGTCTGCACATTCTCCTCACTGTTCTCTTTACAATTCTCATGGTACTGAAAGGGGAATGTGTTAACCAATCAAGGGCTTCTCTTGTTCACAATCATTTCCTAAAATTAGTTGCATGTCACTTCTAGGGTTAACCTTTTAACTCTCAAGATGTGATTGTTAATTCTCCCTTCTAGCTGTGACACATTTTCTTGTAAATTAGTTACAAGAATTTGGTATTAGATCAAGATAACAACTTCTTGCTGATAAGTTTGAGTTTTCTCATTACCTCTTTGCTGGATAACTTATGGATATTATGGGGAGAAGTTACAAATTAATCAGTTCTGAGAGTTTAATGGTTAATGTAAGAATAAAGTTTTTCTTTAACAAAAGCCTTCCTCCCTTGATAGCTGAGCTGGTAACAGGTTAAATATACTACCTATAGTACCTTACCTTATTTTATTACTACCTTAAACTGCTCTGAATTTTTTGAAAATTCAAGAGGTATAAGGATTTTGTTTGAAAATTTCTGTCACTTATCATGCTTAAAATAATGGAGAACACTGTTTATTGTAGTTCATGTGTTTGTGACAACTTAAGTTGGATATGTGCAAATTGTTTTTTCTTTTTACTTCTATTGTTTTATTGTAGTTATCCAGCAGGATTTGTTTACCTTTTTGCTGGATTATATTATCTTACTGGTCATGGAACAGACATCAAGACTGCACAGTACATTTTTGCTGTTCTATATATACTCACCCTAGTGAGTGTATTTGCAATTTATCAAAAAACCTCTTCTGTAAGTATCCTTTTATTGAGTTTTGTTTTGTTTTCAAACATAAACCTGACATGCAAGTTGGCACATCTAGTTAACGCTTAAACTCCCAAGATTGGATTTTTAATCCTCCCTTCAAGCTGCTACACATTCCATATAAATTGTATACAATAATTAAGTCTTTGATTGAGATAACTTGTATGTGATAAGTTTGAGTATTCTTATTACCTGTTTGCAGTCTAATGTAGGGATATTATAAGGAGAAGTTACATTTTAATCACTTCCAATTGATAACTCAGTGATTTCTTTATAGGTTCCACCATATGCCTTCTTCTTCATGTGTTGCACATCGTATAGAATCCACTCAATTTTCATTCTTCGTCTTTTCAATGACCCTGTGGCAATGTTTCTCCTCTATGTCGCAGTCAACTGCTTTCTGCATGACAGGTGGAATTTAGGATGCATTATATTCAGGTAAAATTTGTTGGAAATCATGACCAAAATTTCATTTTGCTGCAGATAATGTAGCATGAAAAAAGATTTCTGCTGCAAGTGTTAATTCTGTAAGTTATTGAGAATTATAGCACTGAATGTATTTTAAACAGCCTGGCTGTGAGTGTGAAGATGAATGTTCTCCTCTTTGCTCCTGGTCTGTTGCTGCTCTTGTTACAAACCTTCGGAGTTTGGTGGACAGTGCCCAGACTTGCTCTATGTGCTTTGATTCAAGTAAGGATTCTTTTGTTGTAATCACTTCACTACCAAGAAATGGAAATTTAAATTATTCTCTTAACTGATTGTTACATATTTCTCAGTTTGCAATTCCAAAGACTCTGTTGTCACATAAACCATCATCAGTCTCAAGTTTCAAGACAAGTCAAAACATCTGTTGTACCTCACTCAACTGAAAATTGTAGTAGCTTTTAATCCTTTAACTCCCATGAGTGACCAAGACATACCATATCAATACAATATCAACCAGATAAATGTTGAGAATAACAAAATATATAAATTTGGGAAAATTAGTTGATCCAATACTAAATTCTCTGAACTAACATTATAAGAATTGTATTGTTGGTAGTAAGGAGAATTATAAATTTGATCTGAGAGTCAAAGGGTTAAAGCATGGATTTTTTTTTCAGCTTGTTCTTGGCCTTCCTTTTCTTTTGGATAATCCCATCAGTTACATCACTTTGGCTTTCAACTTGGGACGGCAGTTTTTATTCAAGTGGACTGTTAATTGGAGATTTTTACCAGAGTGGCTTTTTCTGAATCGTTATTTTCATGTTGGTCTTCTCACGTGCCACATTACACTTTTGATTTTATTTTACTTATACAAGTGGACAAGGTACTCTATTTTATACTTCTTGTTTTATTCCAGAAACATTTTGGAAACTATTTTAGGCAGCCCCATGTTTTTGTAACTGCTGTGATGTAGCTAGTCCCCTTTGTAGAAGCAATTTAGGATGTCAATCTATGAGGCCACTGTATTTCATTAATAATGGTAATAGGACTGACTGGAGTCCAATTCAGTCTGTAATCATATAAGTGATTAAGAAGATCGGATGACTGCAAAGTGGGAGTTCAAGTTGTTAATCAATAGTGTGATTACTGACAGAATTGGATGACACAAAGTCCTCTTATCAACTAATCAAAACTATGACAAAATTTGAGAAAAAAAACTAGACATCCTTTATACAGTTTTATAGAAAAAACAGTGAACTCAACAAAAGGCAAGACAATGGTGCAGGCAAATGATGTGTTCTGTCCACTTATACAGGCATGACATGTTAACTGTTCCTTTAACTGTCCTAGTACATTGTCCAATACAAGCGTGACTTGTCCACTGTCCTAAAATAGTGCTCAAATCAGGCTGGTGATAACCATTCGTGTGTGAGAATTTTGTTATAGTTTTGATTAACCAAACAATTGGCCAAGGAGTAATTCCTCTTGATGTCTAAGTTGTTTTGACTTTTGTGTAGCCATGACACTACCTACAGGCATTTTGTGGAGTGCATAGCTCTTAGAACAAATGTAAAAGGGTCCATGAATTCTATATGCCTGCTCTGGCTTTGTTCTAGATTTTCTATCAGGCTCACAATTTGTTAGACTCTCAGAGGACATCTGTAGTTCTCCCCTTTTTTGCAAATTTGTTTAAGGCTCTCACAGTGAAGATCATTTTATCACTCAACGGGTAATAAGCTTTGTTAACTCTGCCAATTTTGTTCCATTTCGCAGAAAATCAGAATCTTTACAGAGTTATTTAAGAACACCTTTTCAAGGAGAAGCTCTAACTTCTAATCATATCCTTTTTAAACAAATACCAACATAGTCCATGTGAATCAATAGTTGTGAATTTGGCTCGCAAGATATGAAATCTCTCTGTAAAAATGATAGCTACCTATGATTTTCTTACAAATTTTGTACTTTTTTGTGTAAAGTGACTCATGTCTTGTGCATAGATGGAGTTGACCCCTTTAGCCCCTAAGTGTGACTAGCATCTAATTTCTCCTTACAATATCACCACTGAATCACATATTGAGGTCAGGAGAATAAAGGAAATGATCATCAATCAAAGAAGCCCTTGATTACTAAACAAATTCTCCCTGTCAGCAGCTTAGGAAATGTATAAAGAACCGTATAGAGAATATACATGCTGATGTCAGGGTGTTTAAGGTTAGACAGGGCATGTATTCTTTAAGCTTTTTTTGGAATATCCACTCCCACATTATTTTTTATATTTTTTGTCTTTTTATAACTTACTGCTTAACAGGCTGTTGATCCTTAATCATGTGTACAGATTGTTTATGTGTTATTTGTGTCTAATTTCATCGGCATGGCCTTTTCTCGGTCGCTTCATTATCAATTTTATGTGTGGTATTTTCACACTCTTTTGTTCCTGTTGTGGAAGACCAATCTATGGATATCGGCCAGGTTAGCGATTCATTCTGTCCACTCTTGATAAACCGCGGACTTTCGTTATTGAAAAACTTCAATAGAACGTTAAGAAAACTAGTGAAAGTGAAGAAAAATCCACGCTAGTGAGCTGAAATTAAAGAGATTGCAGTGTAGAGGCCTGAAAAATTCAACGGGATTTGTACCCTTTCCTTCCAGATATTAATTGCGTGCCACTGCCAACAGAGTTACGATGGTACATTTTGAGAGCGGGGCAAATTTGAGTTGGTTCTTCGTTTTCGTTGAGGAATTTGATCACAAAACTTGTGAGAGCAAGAAAAATAAACGAAATGTGCCATTGCTATATATTCATATTTACGAAAAGACGATATTAAGCATAAGCACTCTACAATGAACCTACTATCAGTTTTCAGTTTTCAATTGAGTGACGAAACACCAAATTCAGAAGAATCTCAAAGGCCTATCAGAACAAAAGTTAATATCATCACTAGCCAATTAGAACTCAAGAAAAAACAAGCGAACTGCCAAAAGTTTTAGCTTGGCATGTGATTGGTTGAGAGAGTGGCGCAAGTTTTATAGACCTTCTTCTTATGGTTCTCTTTTAGGCTCCTTATTCTTGGGGTCATAGAGCTGTGTTGGAATACGTACCCATCTACTGTGATAAGCTCCATATCCTTACACATCTGTCACGCCGCAATCTTAGGGGCCCTGTGGCACGCTGAACCTTTATTTACAAAGAAAACCGGCTCCAGGGAAGAAAACAAGAAAGAGTGAATGTTTCAAATGTTTGTAAAATGAAAAATAATCAACTCTATCGGTTTATGACGAGAAATGATGAATCCTTCCTGATGAAAGTAATTTGAAACAGAGATACGTTAATATAACTTTTTTTGTAGTAGTACTGAATACAGATTTAATAGAAAGTAACATGTCTACCAGAATTCGATTGTTTGATTCTTTTGTGAATTTTAAGCAAACCACATTTCTAGCAAGAACATGACTGCAGAGCCCAATAAGCCCAGTAAACGCGTTTCTCTAGAAAGCTGAAAACATAACAGGAAACCATGATTCGTTTCTCTTTCAACGTTCAAAATTCGATAGTTTATCTCTTTTAAAAGGTAGGATTCACTTCTACCAAGAAAAACGTCCTGGCTAAAGGTGAATCTGGTTGTGGAGAAGAAATAAACAGATATTTTTGACGAAAAAAGCTGATGAAAAAATAAAAAATGAATCCGGTGCAATTCTACGCGTTTGCCTTTCCCTCCCCTCCTTTTTCTTTCCCCCCACCTGCCCCCCTCAACTTTCTCCGTTTTGAATAGTGTTTTAAATTTCTTGAAACGCGTTACTTTTCCGCGGGATTAAGGCGTTTTCAGGTTAGAGACGAGGATTCATCCTTATCCCGAGGTTTGTCAACCTCGTCCCCAGGCCCTTTTTTCTTTCCTTTGGGAAGAAGAACTCAAGGACGAAGCTAGAGGTTCGTTTCACCGGAACACTTGCGACACGTAATTGACATGTGCTCGACTGCTTTGTTTGCGCAAGGAGCTTTCCAAACTGACAGTTTTCGGTTATACAATCGACAAAATATGCAAGTCGTTTTAGGTAGGTATTTTTTAGAATGACGAGTTGATGAGGGCGAAAATCGCTTCGAAACCGTTCTAACACGAAATGAATGCCTGGTAAGTTTCGTAAGCTCCAGTCAGCTCTTTCACACAACCTTTGTTGAGGAAACTATAGACAAACAAATAGCTATGAAAGTTTAATGGCGAACTGCATGACTTAATCAAGCAAGGACAACAATTTTTGTTTTCAAAAGTTGCTTGGCAACTGGCGATTTCTGATGTATACAAGCGAAGTACCATCTAATCAGCATTTGCGGTAACTTGGGATCCCAAAACCAAGGTTTGCCTATCAGTCCGAGCGTAACTCTGGAACTTTGTACTCAGTCTATAAGTTCCGCTCCTATTGGGGCCAAGGATATCAGAACTGGATAATTGAATGTTCTTTGTTTGAAGTGGCAGTTGTATAAACTGGGTCAAGAAATGTCACTTGTTGATCAAATAATTTTAGCCATCTGTGTCGATTGTTTCACTTACTGAACTCTTGAGTTCCAAAAGCTTAACAAAGTAGTTGTTGAGAAGTTGTTTCCCAGATGGCAATACCTGAACTTTGATGGTAGCGGAATATTTTCCGGCGAAATTCTAATAAAGAATTTGAAAAATGACTAGGAATTTAAAGAAAATTAAACACAAACTCTTTCTAAAGGTTCCTATCTATTGACCTCAGACAAATTTAGCTCTCGCATGTTTGAATTTCGAACATGTTACAGCTGCAGAGCCAACACGTTTTTTTATAATACGTTCGCCGGTCATCGAGCTGTTCAGAGACGGTTTGGTCTAACGAAATTGTTTTTGGAGAGCGATTATCAATTATCAATAAAGCAATTCAGACGACGACAAAGGTAAGTTTGCATGTCTGTATACTTGAATGTGCCGCGGAGCATCTCTCTGAATTTGTGACAAACTTCAGTTCAAGCGAAGCATTTTAGTACTTATTCTTAAGTTTCCGAATTTTCGGAAACGTTAGAGAGCTATATAATAAAGGTGAATAGTAAAAACACGAAGAAAATTTAATTTTCTCCTTCGAATTGATAGAGGGCTATATAAGTTAGCTTAAACGAGGAAAATTTTGTTTTGTGCAATTTTTAAGGCATTTTAGCCAAATGCGGTGGAATCGCACACACAGTTGAAACTGGAGATCAAGTCTTACCTCAACAAGAACCTTAAACACTTGAATTGTTAGTTTACTATTTACTATTTCAGAATGGTAGATCAGTTTTTTTATGCGAAAAGTCATCGAACACTTTGTTAGGAACTTCTAGATAACATGAGCCAAGCTGAAGTAAGTGCACGTGGTTTCGAAGATTAAGCTGAATTATTTTGCGCAATAACAACTCTCTTCAAAGAGATTTCTTTCACCTCAGAATGCTGGTATCAAAGCTTACGGCAAGCAATCTATCAATGCTGAGAATTCAAGAACAAACTACGAAAATTTTCTTCACGTTCTGTCTGCGATGAAGGCAATCGCGAAAACAATCTTGTTCCCAGGCTTCCTCTGCTTCAAATACAGTCGCATTTTTATTAAGGCTGTTTCACTCTTTCATTCGCGAGATTTCAATAAAATTCTCCTTACTGTCTGCTATACATTCTTTATGATATTAAGTCTGAGAATTTGCTGTTGAATCAAATGATATCTTTTCTTTATTCTCATCACTTGTTTGCTTTATGTGGTCTAGGACATGTAAAGGAAAGGTACTTTTAGATCGGTCGTGGTTGTGAAAAGGTTAACTGAAGCTGAAAGATGAAGATAAGGGATCTAGGAAAATTTTTATGATTTAAAAAGGAAGCAGCGATATTTGTTGGAAAGCTTGTTTTGTTGTTTTTTTTTCAGACTTAAAAATTGGGCTGTTCAATTTTATAATTAAACTAAGAAATGACTGTATTTTTTTTACAGATGAAGATTATCATGTTTTTAGTGTTGGTGATTCTGTTATACAGCTGTATGGAGCCAGTCACAGCGCAAGGGGGGAAGAAAAAGGTCCTGCGCATGTGCAAAGGAAAATTCAAGAATTGTTTGACAAATAAAAAGTACAAAAAGAACTTCAAAGCTGGATCAAAATGCTGTGGAAGGGCCTGGACGGTAAGTATTGCAAGATTATAAATATCCATTTCATCCCAGAGACGGGATGATTGAGTGTAAGGCAAAGACCGGAAATAGTTTTTTTTTTTTTATGTTTATCGAATTTCCTTCTTTTCGTCATTTTCTGCTAAACTTGAACATCACTCTGATTTCTTTCAAGGTTTGCCAGCTTCATCGTCGCTCATGCCTGAAGATCTGTCATCCATCGTACCGGAAGTGCATGTGTGGGATGGGGTTTGGTTACTATTGCTGAAGAAAACCGCAGACCAGATGTAGCAAAGGATCCTCAACTTTGCATTTCCTAAGAAAGCATTTTAAGATTAAGATTTTTCGCTTTGCTTAATAACCCGGGCCTGACGCCTTTAAAAGCTTTGCTTCGCACACTTTTTTAATGAGCAACTGTAGACTAAAGATACCTGTCCAATAAAAGCGAGAATAATTTTCCACAAATGAACAACTTCGTATGAACAGCAGCCTGAAAGACTATTTAAATTCTCCAAGAGTGACAGTGAAATTTGGCCTCAGGACATCGGAGAGCGTTGGGACTTTCATCTGTGATTGGTTGGCCCTTTTAGAACGCCTTTTGATTGGGTGTTTTAAAACTAAAAAGAATCCAAGCGACCAGTCTGAGCAAAGGTTGAGATTATCATTAGCCAGTGAGAACTCATAGTGAAAACAAGGGAAGTGCTTGAAGCGCGGGAGAACGCAAGTGATCAAATCGCGATTGTTCTTAGTTTTGCATCTGATTGGTCGAGAGGATTGCGTGAGTTTTCTAGAACAATCACAGAGCAAAGTTAAGGAAAGCCAAAGATATTCCGGATTACTTTCGGCACTCAATTGAAAATTACGCTGAGTCATTTTGACAGATAGGTTCTTGCGCACCGTTGTTGAAACAACCATTCAATGATACCCCAGCAAAAACTAAGAAATCTAAAGGTTTCGTAAACGTACAGAAAATGCGAGTGTCTAAAAATGCTTGATAAGTTCCGAAAACGAACACAGCATGTGTCGAAACCAGCCGGTAGGGTCCGGAACAATTCCAAAACAGAAGCATGAGTCCGATACCAGACGATAACGTCCGAATGCGAATGTAAGTGTCCGAAACTAGACGGTACCGTCCGAAGATGATCGAAAAGGCACTCAACCGTCGAAGAACGAAAGTATCATGCCGAAAGGAAGCCACTCGCAAGGAGTGAGTGGGGAAGTTAACATTAGTCATCTTGGGTAATATATCCCAAATGATATTCCCCAATTTTCAAACCTTACGACTACTACGATGAAAGCGTTCTTTTTAAAATAAATTCAAGACGACAAAGACTTGAACTAGTTTTACAGAAGAAAGGACATGTTTGTTTGTTCATAAAGTCGTCCCGGAGAACATTGAAAAGTAAACATCTCACGCAGCAAACTAAAAGCTGTTGGAAACATTTTTCCCGCCCGATGCCAAAAAAAAAATTGAAGAATAATAAACATAGCCTGCAGAGCAGGTATTATTTTGGCGAGCGAGTGCTTAAGTATTAGCGAAATTATGGAAGCCATATTCTATTTTAATGACAGCGGAAGGTTGGGGAGAGACGGGGTTGGTCGACGGTCAAAAATAAAGGTAGGGGTAGGGGTGGGGGAAAGATTTTTTTTTTTTAAGCCTTCCCCGCCCCCCTCCCCCACCGCCTCTATCTCCAAATCAAACATAGCCGGTTGAATAAACGACCGCGAGCTTCTTAACGTTAACTCGCCCTTATAAGACGCCTGCACTGCAGGCTAAAACGAACACAATAACCTTCATGTGGAGCGAAAACATGTACGGATATTCGTCCTTGGACATTATTTGTTCGTCGAAGCTCACAATTCTCCTCGAGAGGCACTAGTGTTTCTTTGCCCGGAAGAGTGTATGAGGTTTTTAAGCAATGCGAGTCGGGGAGAGGTCTGTAAGGGGTCTGGCACGGAAATTATCATTAGGGCCAGACCCCCGGCAAATTTATCCCCGACTTGTCTCAGGTCTTCCCGCAGGAGGAGAAACGCGCATCCTGCAGCTTGCTGGCTGGTCGTTTGTTGTGCGTTTTAATCAAAAAGACAACTTTGGACAAAACAAGCAAATACGAGTTGATTTTCATGAAGCTCTACCCGTACACTTCCACTCTACCAACAATTGGTTTGGCACATGGAACAAAAAACGTCCTATAACTTTCCCCTCAAATTATTATAAACATTATGGTGGTAAATTCCCTTACTTCGAGATGCTGTAGTTTCACATGGACGCGAGGAAATAGTGCAAAATTTAGCACAATAGCTAAGAACGTCATTGAAAGTTTGTCCTACGAAAAAGGAATTTAATATATCGAATAGAACGTAATTTAGAGCCCTTTACGTAAATAGTAACATGTCGCAGCAGTTAAATCGACTGTAAACTTAGCGGCATCAAAATGTTGAAACGGCCACATTCAATATATTGATTACAAATTTACTCAGCAGCAGGGTCTTATCTAAAAAAAAAATCCTAAAGTTGCGAGAAAATCCACTGAGGAATTTATGATACCATCCCCCAAAACTGTTTAACCCTTTAACTCCCAAGATGTGATTGTTAATTCTCCCCTCTAGCTGCTAGACATTTCCTTGTAAAAAAGTTGCGAGAATTTCATTCTAGATCAAGATATCAACCTCTACCTGATACATTTGAGTATTCTCATAACCTGTTTGCTGGATAGTGCATAGATATTTTAGTGAGAAGTTATTTGTTAATCACTTGTGGGAGTTAAAGTGTTAACGGAATTTCCCATAACATCAGCATAATAATTGCGCTTGCCAAGTCACGCCCACTATTTCAACATTCTATTCCTTAGTTCTTACGTGAGAAAGAGCTTGTTCCTTTTGAACGAAAGCGAGATATTTTTATACAGAATGAGACGTGTGAGGGCACTAATTGCAATGTCACTGATCCCTGAAGCCCACAGAGAGTCACAAGGGACGTTGTAAAGGCGCGAGGAAGGTTAAGTGTAATAAAAGTTGAAGGTTTAATTTGTGTTGCCTACGTGGACTTGGAAGACGAATGAGGTAAAAAGAGCATGAAAAAACTTATGGTAAAAGCTGGAATGAATTGTATCCGCCGTTGTGGGTTTCTTATCGATAGTTAGATCATGAATTTCACGGGTTGAAAGGGACTTGCTTTGAATACATTGTGAGGATAAAGTAAACAGGTGACTTGCGTGAAACAATATGGTAACAGTTCTCAACCTCGTGACAAGCACGTGGCCAATTTCCATATCTGACTATGACGACACTCGACCAAACTTTTAATATGATCTACAACAGGCATCCCACGTAATTATTGAAGTTCTTAACTGGAAATTTCTCAAATATTCTAAGTAAAATGCCCGAAAGAAACTACCTTTTTTCTTTTCATGTTTTGTGCTCCAGAGCCCTCGGCTCAGTTCGTGTAACGGTGCTTGGTGTGCGTTACCATGTTTTTAAAACAAGATGAAAAATGTATATAACGTTAGCGTTCAACATAATTAAATGAAACCAATGATATTTTGACCTACGGCGGTGATATACCTTATTGGTAATTAGTTTTGCGGCTCTTTAATCTCGCGTTTTTGGCGATCTGTGTGGAAAAGTCGCGAAATTAAAGACCCGCGAATGACACTCCTCGCCAAATTTAAGCACCATCATAGAAAAAATGATCCATGTATTAAAATATGTATCGAAAAATGCAAAAATTGTTAACTCGTCTTATTTTGTATCTTCTGATGTGAAATGACGTTAACTTGCAAAGATTTCGCATATGGAGTGGAGAATCTACCTTTCATCTTCATCTGAATCTACGTTTCATCTTCATCTGAATCGTTAGATTTGGCCTTAGAAAATCTTTCGTGTAGTCGTCATCATTAAGTTAAGCCATTTCACAAACAAAATGAATTTAAGAACGCTTGAATTGCGAAATTTAATGCCCTTGTTTTTTAATTGTCGGCCTTGTATTGAAGTCGCAAAAAATAAAACCCGCAAAATACCGTCTTACCAAAATCGAGTAATTTGGTACCTGCGAAATCAATTACCAATAAGGTTGAAGTTAAGAAGAGATCTTTGGAGGTTAGCTTCAATTAAAACAATCGCAGAAAAAAAAGCCCTATTAGGTTCAAACTTGAACAGGAATTGAACCCGTGCCTTGCAGATGCCAATTAGGGCGTCTACCAACTGAGCTATGCGAAGCCGCATGAAGAGGGGGAGAACAAAAAACGTAGGTTCCGCCTGCGAAGATCGTTTCTCCATTTTTAGTGCTACATGTTACCCCTTATCTTTCCGAAAAAAAAAATTAACGGCAGGGTACACTGCATATCTCTAAAGGGCAGTACAATAGAGAACCTTTGACACTGGAAATGATCCGTGGTTTCTTTTTCGTTCGCAATGTCTCTTGTGTCTTGACTTTTGTATCACGGTTGGCAGTCGTACAAGTTAATCGAAAAAGCGCACGATCTTGAAAACTGGTTGCAAAAATGAAAGTCGAACATCCAAGGCCTGTTTGTAGGCGCTCGTAATCAGTTTGAAAATTACTTTGGCTTTGGTGGATGGGGCTTTGGTGGATGGGGAAGGTGAAAGAGAATGTGCAGCGACAAGTCACAATTTCTTTAGTGGTTACACTACTAGGCGTGCAATTTGCTTCAGAAAGCAAAAGCCTTCGCCATTTATGTGATCGTCTTTTTGACGCCTTATCAAAATGTCATAACATGCTTGGATTAAACCTAGCTGCACATGTGTCCATTTCAGTTTCCCATATCAGCTTCCTGAGTAGTCGAAAAAAAGATGGCATGTGAAACCAAACCATTGTAATTGTCAAGTCGACAGCTGTAACTTTGCCAAGAATAAAAACTGTACTTCTCTCCATAAATAAACCATAAAATCTGCAGCAACGACTGACCGGAAGTCCTCCATACTTTCATTATTTCAACTTACGACATAATGCGGTTTTCATCTAATCGAAAACTGTGAAAATACAAACGCTAACAATGGATTTCCTCAAAGAATTACTTGCACCAAAAACATTTAACAAAGTCAGCCATGTCGCAGTTGTTTTTTGGATCCCGATTGGTGTAATCTTCCTTGGCATTTTTGCAGAGATTGAAAGCGGCGAATCCAGGTATGATTTCCACTGTGGCGGGGCGAAGAGTGATGACATCGACCTTGTGAGTGGAAAATGTCTCGAGCTGTACGAGGAGCGGTACAACAAACACGGTGTTGCAATCTATAGCTTCGTGTTACTTAACTTTTTTCTCACTGGAACTGTTTGTGCTATTTACTCCAAAATAGCGAGCCATACAGTCGATCAACTGTTGCCTTGCGCTCGTGACGGTGATCTCGAGGGACAGCCGCGCGACCAAGAGAATGCATCATCAACTGGAAAAAAGCTCTTTATCGCTTACTGCTGTCAACTTTTCACGAGGTTTCTGTTAGGGGTTCTCTTCATGGTCCTACAAACTCAATTTCTTTATCCTCTGGACTTTCCATCCAGCTTTTCTTGTTATCTAACCTCCTGAGGGAATCAGCCAAGGAATTCTACTGGCGTCATACAAAAAGTCCACATCAATCTTACACGAGTGTCATAATCAACGAGCAACTAAGAAAAACTCCTGGATGCGCGCTGTTCTTGTCGTGAACGGAATTTTTCTCTTTGGCATTCTGTTAGAAACCGTCTATATTTTGCTAAGAGCCTGGAAAGAGAATAGTTTCATGAAAAATTCCAAGTTTCTAAAGGCTCACCTGAATCCCTTCCATGCCGACTCGCAAAATGCTACCACATCGATTGTGTTGAGATCTGAACCTCCGTCTCATGAAAAAAGAACAGAGCAAGAAACGAACATTCCACAAGAACAACACCAGGAAGAGGAAAGTAAAGAACATGAAACGAACATCCTACATCTGCCAAGCAAGCCTCAACAACTCCAAAAACCACCGCTTCAGGAATTCATAGACAATACAAAGAAAATTATTAAAAAAGAGACAAATAAACCTCCCCAACTCCGGTCGCCTTTTTCAAGTACTCCCGGCGAAGGACACCCATCTAAACATTTGACCCTGGATCAGATTTACACAAACCTTGTCGTTGTTCCAGACAGAGCCAAATATGATTTTTCTGGAGGCAGAAGGGAGAAACTGGGAGTTTACACCAGAGCTGGTGAGAAAAACACAACACCTAGAGGGCCGGAGGACATTCTTAACAACGAAAACAAAAACGTTTTGATTGTTGGTCGTCCCGGAATCGGAAAGACACTTTGCTGTACCAAACTCCTCAGAGACTGGGCATTTAACAAAGTATTCCATAAATCATCTGATGTTAAAATCCATTTTGATGCTGCTTTCTTCATCAAATTCAGAGCATTCAACGCGGCACCCGACCTCAGCCTCCGGGAACTGCTCACATCGTCAGAACATTCCCCCTCAGATCACATGGATGATGAAGTCTGGAATTACATCCTTGAGAACCCCCAAAGAGTTCTGATTATTTTCGATGGAATCGATGAATTTAAACCTAACTCAAAGATAGGGGAGGAAAATTTCGAGCCTCAATTCAAAAACCGCGTAGATGAGAAGATGCCCTTGTATGCTCTATACGAGAAGCTTGCGACTGGGAAACTACTCAACGGGGTTGCCGTTTTGACAACCACAAGACCTACAGCTTTGTCATGCATCGAGCGTGTTGATTTCGACAAAGTGTTCGAGATCCTCGGCTTCTCATCCGAACAAGTCGAAGAGTACGTAACCAAATTTGCTGAGGAGGACAAGCATGCGGGCGAAACAATATGGCGACACATCGGCGGCAACAGGAACATTCTCTCTCTATGCTACATTCCTGCGAGTTGCTTCATCATTTGCTCAAGTCTCTTTCAAATGGTGAAGTTCTATGGTTCTAAAAGTCTTAGCCTACCTACGAAATTAACAGATATTTACAAGAAAGCCGTGAAAATCTTTTACTTAAGACACAACGAAGAATTCCGCGGCAAGAATTTCACTCGCGAAGAATTTGAATCAGACCAATTGCCCCCTGAAGTGGAAAAGAAATTCGAGAAACTGGAAAAAATGGCATTTGAAGGAATCAAAGAAGGAAAGCTGGTCTTTGGAGGAAACGAAGTACGCGGAATGGAAGAAAGCGCTCTCTTTCACCGCTTACCCGACCGCGAAACTGCCTCTCTAAAACGTGAACGACAATTCTGTTTCATTCATTTAACAATGCAAGAGTTTTTCGCTGCGAGGCACCTGGCAAACATGAATGAAACAGAACTGAGGAACTTTGTTTCAATGAACATCGAGGACGGCAAATGGCAGTTGGTTTTTCAGTTTCTAGCAGGACTAATGAACGAGAAAGAAAAACTACCAAGCGAAATCATCACAGACCTTCTTCCTGTGGAAACTGAAGCGAAAAAAAGCCAGCACTACAACGAAGAGTGGACAAAGGATATGGAGCCAAGGAAAGTAACTTGTTGGCCGACTAAAGACAAAAAACATTTAGCTCTGACATTATTTAAATGTACTAACGAAAGTAGTGCGATGGTGGAAATAGTTCAGAGAAAACTACAACAAATCAACTTTAATTTTGTAAATTTTAATGATTGTCAACTCACACCTGTTGATTGTGCTTCAGTAGTTACTCTAATTAAGAATGTTCAACAAATTTCACATTTAGATTTGGCCTTCAATAACTTTGGTCCATTAGGTTGTTTTGAAATTTGTAAGTTGCTAAAATGTAGTAAATCTCAACTGAGCTGGTTAGACCTCACAAGAAATCAATTGACAGACGAAGGAGCAGAGTATTTAGCTGAAGCCATCAACAACAACAACTGTCAGCTACGCACGTTATACCTCTACGGAAATAACATCTCACACATTGGAGCACAGCACTTGGCTGAAGCCATCAACAACAACAACTGTCAGCTGCGCACGTTAAACCTCAGAGAAAATAACATCTTAGACATTGGAGCACAGCACTTGGCTGAAGCCATCAACAACAACAACTGTCAGCTACGCACGTTAATCCTCAGAGCAAATAACATCTCAGACATTGGAGCACAGCACTTGGCTGAAGCCATCAACAACAACAACTGTCAGCTACGCATGTTAATCCTCCACAAAAATAACATCTCACACATTGGAGCACAGCACTTTGCTGAAGCCATCAACAACAACAACTGTCAGCTACACACATTAAACCTCTCATTAAATAACATCTCAGACATTGGAGCACAGCACTTGGCTGAAGCCATCAAGAACAACAACTGTCAGCTACGCATGTTATACCTCGCAAGAAATAAAATCTCAGACATTGGAGCACAGCACTTGGCCGAAGCCATCAACAACAACAACTGTCAGCTACACACGTTAAACCTCTCAATAAATAAAATCTCAGACATTGGAGCACAGCACTTGGCCGAAGCCATCAACAACAACAACTGTCAGCTACGCACGTTAAACCTCTCAGTAAATAACATCTCAGACATTGGAGCACAACACTTGGCTGAAGCCATCAACAACAACAACTGTCTGCTACGCACGTTATACCTCACAAGAAATAACATCACAGAAGCAGGTAAACAACACGCAAAGAATTTACTTAGCAATAGTCAGTCTGACTGTCGCCTTATTATCTAACATTGCCAGTTCACAAATAATTGTGAAATCTGGAAAAAAAATTTGAATAATCACTTACAATTCAAAAGGTGAGGCAACCAGCTCAGTGACAATTACAGCACAGTAAATAAGGAAACCCATTACTTTTCAAAGACAAAAAATTTTATTGTAGGTTAGTGGTGTGAGACATATTAAGTTACAAAATTTTTCAGGAAACTTTATCATTTTATGATTGGTTTAGATCTTTAAATATTGAGTGATTTGATTTTTGTATAGTTTTCCGTTTATTTTTTTGCCTGTTACTAGGATAACAGTTTTTTTTTTTGAGTTTGTTTTTCTTTTTTTTTTTTTTTTGATAAAATGAAAGGTATAACACTTAAACAAATGAAGACGCTGCTCAAGTAGTGTTCATATAAACTGTGATGATCACTCTAATCTTCATTTATTGATCTGCAGTTAAAATATAAGATATTACTATATTCACTATTGTTCAAGACTTTCACTGACTAGTATTTGTAGAGAAGAGCAGAACTCCTAAGTTTATCAGATGATTGTTGAATAAATCATGTAAGCAGATTTATTCTTTGAGTTGTTGTCAATTCAGCCCCTATTGTTAGACATATCAGACAGAGTAAAGAGCTTTACAAAAAGTTTTGAAACAAAAAAAAAATTGGACAAAGGAAGGCAATGGGGGTGGGGCAGGGGAAGGGGGGGTTGGTAAAGACTTCTCAATATCAAACAAAAGTATAAATAATTTATCTGAGAAACATGATCAGCTCAAATAGAGGCTTTTTTCAGCAGTACCTTTTCTTTAGCAGAGATAGCACCCTTCTTAAAATCAACTGTTGCCCTGCCTTAGGTCAAAATACAAAATTATTCCAACTCTATTTTAAACCTTGACCAAAATTCCACACCCTGTCTTAAACCAGCAATAAAACTTCTTTAAAAAATTAAATGAAAATAGCTTATTACCTCAAATAAATGCCCAACCAGATATTGAAAATTCTGGTCCAAATTTCCATCATACACAATCAAGTTTAGTTTTTTCATAATATGCATGTTTAGTTTTGAGAATTTGGTATTGGATCAACTAATAATCCCCTTCCCCTAGCAGATATTTTCTTCAATCCCATCACTTGTCTGCTTGATATTGTATTGATATTGTAAGGAGAAATTCTGTCTTGGTCACTCATGGGAGTGAAAGGCTTAAAGGGTTAACACACAATGAAAAATTGCTTGACCCTATTTTTAATTAAGTTTCTTTCACAAGTTAACAAATATTCAATACCCTATTTACATGAACATGTGAATCTGTCACCTACTAACAATTTTAATCTTAAGTATTTGTAACATCTATAACCATAATCCTTTCTGTTCTCTGAAGCTTATAACCCATTAACTTCCAAAGACTGATTGCTACTTCTCCCTTGCAGCTGCTATACATTTCATTGTAAATTAGTTTTGAGAATTTGAAGTTAGATCAAGATTAAAACTTGAAGGTATTCTCATTACTTTTGTGCTGGAAAATGTATGAATACAACAAGAAGAAGCTACATGTTAATCACTTCCAAGAAGTAAAGGATTAAGACATGCTCATCTGCAATTATTGTTAGGAGTTCTTTGTCTCAATATAAACAAATTGGACTTTAACTTGGGGTAGAAGAGCACAGAACACATCATCACAATGGAATGTGCTGCACATCAAATTCATCACCTTAGAGAAAAACGTGTAAAAATATGTGATATGTCAGTTAGCTTACTCACAAGCATATTAACTTGGTACATCTAGAAATATGCAAATTAGTCTTTAACTTACATTTATCTCAGTAGTCTGGAAATGTGGAATTCTGGAAATATGCCAGTAATTCTTTAGCTAAGTTGCATCTATCTTAACTTGGTAGTCTGGAAATGTGAAAATCTGGAAATAGTACAAGGATATGGTTTTGACTTTGGTTCCAAAAACATTCAATTTTCTTTGTAGCCCACTGTCACACTTCCTCTACTTCATTCAGTAAATAAAAATCCTTAATCTATCAAACACCTTTGTGTTGCTCAATTTCCCAACAGAAACATGGGAGAAGAGAGGGACAAAAGCTTAAAGAGATGAAGGGAGGGGGGGAAATAGAATACCAAGGGGAGAGGGGTATGGCAAAGGTTACAAAGGTGGTGAAAATGATGACAATGAAAACAAAAATGTTGACCCTGATAAAATGAAGATCAACTGAACCAATACAACTCAATAGAAAAGGGCTTAGAAATAACAATTACCTCAGCATATATGGTTTGCCCTTTTTCTTGATCACTTTTGTGACATAATTCACAAGTTTTCTTTAACTTTTGTTTGAACCATGTCAACAGACATGATGCGTGCATGTGTTTTACTGAGCCAGAACAGTAGCACTGAGTTTTAGGAGCTTGTTCCCCTGAAGAGTGATAAATACAGCAGATGCTCTGACTCATACAGATCAGAATTTTCTGAAAATTCACATTTCCTGAAAAAGAGTAAAGATTCATTTTTTTAATGATGTTTGAGTTATTAGCTAAAAATTTAAAATATATGACCCTGTGTTGGCATGTCAAATAGTATTTATCTTTGATGGACGCATTAGGGTATGTATCTCGCATTAATCTGACTTCTGCATTAAGTTATGTATCTCACACCAATCAGATCACAGCAATGAGGTATGCTTGCACTGATCAGAGTGTTACAGTATTGTCCCTCATGCCAATCACATCATAAAATTAGGGTACTGTCATATGTTGCAATGGAATCAAACTAACATTGACAAACACCAAGAATGGCATTAACAAAGAATTGTGAGCTCATCTACCCAGTGCAATGGTTAATTTCTTTTAAGAACTTCATTGCTATGACCTGTAGGAGGTTACAAAGGTGGTCAGGGAATTTTTTTCTACCATTTAGAAGTTAAAACATGTTTTGTGTAACACTCCTTCACTTACAGCCTGCACCTTATCATGTATTCTGCACAAATGGGGCAAAGTACAGATAGGCAATTACCAAATAAAGAGCCCATGTTGTTATGCTTTGAAATGTGATACTTTTCTCACCACTTTTCTGCACTAATGTTGTTAATTTTTGCTAACAATTATTCAGACACCAGTAGCAATAGGCCATAAAATGTTTCTCTGAGTTTATTTATCATAAATTGGAAGGTTTTGTTTTTTTGCTCTCCATGTAACAATATGTTCATCAGAATCTTTCATAGGTAAATACTCTTTTTCTTTTACAAAATGCAAAAATTAGTTGCTTGGTTTCCCATTTTGACCCAGCCATCAAAAACAAAATACTCTTGCATGCATAGCATGCTTATGTTTTAAGTATGCCCTTGTCAGTAACTAATAACAACTCTGAAAGAGTATTTTTGGACAAAAATAAGGGGTGTTTCAGCTCAGGGACAGTACTTGAAGTGTTACCAAGTGAATAATTTTGCCTTTCACTATCCCTAACATTCAATGGGATACCTGTCCGACAAATTAAGAATTAAAACACAACTATCATACCTCAAGGCTGACAAAGATAAATGCTATAAAGTGGCAACTATGGTATTCTGTATTTCTTTTCTTCACATTTTCAATTTTTTTTTCCTTTTTTTCTATTCTTCATTGGTATTTTTCTTTAAGGAAACAAAAAATCTTAAACCACTGCCTATAGTTAAAACCAAGCAGTGGGTAAAATAGTATGATAAATATTTAACTATCATAACAACACTCCTTAGTATGACACACTGCACAGCAATTGGAATCATCATTTGCATGAATGTACCTCTGACACTATGGGGCACTATGGTAAGACTAAACTTTTAAATATTCCCTGCATTTTTGTAGACATACCACTCAGCATATCTATTTCCCAGAGAAAACTGGAAAACTGAAATACTCCTAAACTCCACTGACTTGGGGAGGAGGTTGGTTAGGAAGAGGAACAGGGGGCTGGTTTCACTTTGGTATTCACAGGTGACTCATAATTCTCAAAAACTGTCTCACAATGTCATTGGGAAATCATCAAAAGAATAATTTACAGGCCTGTTAACAGCTTCATCATCTGGAAAATTAGCCTAATGCTCTTTGAAAAGTCTAAAGCTACTAACTACAGGGGAAGCAGAACTGGGAGCAGCAGAAGCTGAGGGAAACGTGGGGGGGGGGGGTGGGGGGGTCAACAATTACACATTCAAACAAAACTATCATTCAAATGGAGCAAAATTATCACGTTCAAGACGAACATACTGATCTACTGCGAAAAATAGAATTAACTTTGATAATTCTTGCGGATATGCATTCAAAAATCAAGATTGCTATGTTGAATTTGTACCAGATGAAAACATTTCACTCACTAAAAGCTGCAGACTCTTCCTCCGGCAGCTCCTCGTCGTCAACACCTTCTCCTTCCCTAAAATATGAACATGACGATGTTTGCGTTCCGCTTGTTCCTTGGAGTTAACTAATACAAAATAAAAGCCAGTCTATGACTTCACGTGCATCTGTTGTATAGTTAAGGGGAGTAAAACGCACAACTGTGAGAACGTTTGATGAGGCAGCTTTCACGTTCAAATCGATAACAATGTCAACATGCAGAGGTGAGACCCTGAAAAACATGATTCCGAAGAGCGATGGCCAGTGTCAGGGCTGAACCAAGACGAGTCACAAGAGATATGATTTAACGAGTGTCCCACGATAATTCGCCATTTTGAAACCGTGAGGGGCTTTGGGACGAAAATAACCACCAGCTGCTGAAACACTTCATGATACATACACCACATATTACAGTGGCCCATCATTATGGCGGAAAGAATGCGTTTTAATTTTATCACATTTTGCAAAAAGGAGCAAGTATATTTCTCGGCGCTGACATTCATTCTTCCGTAGCTCTTTTCTTTTGTTACAACGAGCATATCAGACTTTCCCGGAGAATCGTGATCGTGTGGTATTTTTGTATTTAATTTTTTTAATTCACACCGATCTATTTTCGATATTCCTTATTTTTTTTAGGAAGCCCAAAGTCACGAGGAGGATCCCCCAGCTACTGCTGGTCGTGCAAGAAAAAGAGAGTCCTTTTTTTGTAAGTTTTATATTTCACGTGTGGGAGCATGATTTCATTGTTCAGGTTGAAAGCTGTTGTATATGAGATTTTCATTTTCTATTTTCTTTCAGGTGGCGTTTGAGACAGACTCAAACAAGCGTAACCAGATGGATAGACGGTACATGAAGTCTATGCAAACAAAAGTATTTCAGTGTTTCCTTTTTTTAATTTTATATATATATATTTTTTTTTATATTTATTTATTTATTTGAATTTCCCAATGTAATTTAACAAGACTTTTAAATAAAAACTGTTTTCTAAGCTCATGATATCGGGGTTGAAATTGTTTGTATCTACATCCCTGACAATGCAGTACCTCAGGATTTTTTTTATTCTAAATTAGCCCTTCCTTCCTTCCTTCCTTTCTGTCTGCTTGGCTTTCTTCCTCTATTTTTGCTTTATTTCTCTCTTTTTGCTTTTAGATGCAAGAATGGTATGCTAGGACTAAGCTGTCAGCACTCTGCTTTGCATTTTGGAAAGGCCAGTTCTGGATTGCAACAGGTTTAATGCTTTGACAGTTTAAGGCACTGATTGATGTTATTTACAGCCCACATTATGTTTTAAGGTATGGAAGATATGGTTCTCATTCACTTCTCTATGCAAGTAATACTTATTTTAACTAGTTTAATTCATTAAATTCTGAGTGCATTTTAACATCATTTTGTTTTGAATCTGTTATAAGTACCCACCTTTCTGCTTCCAGATTTTAATTTACAGTACAATACAGTTTGAATGTTTATTTCCTATAGTGCAACAAGTTCAAGCTCAAGAAATGGCAGCTGATAATGACATACCACCAGAAGATCCTGTGCAATTTAGAGTGGTAGATCTGAGGAAAATGGTTGTTAGGGAAGTCAAAAAAGATGGTAAAAAAAATTTACAAAAGCAAACTGGATAGACGGCTCATTTTTCGCAAATGCAAACAATTTTGGGGGTGATGTACTTAAAAGGCTATGCAATTTGTCTATTCTAATCATACAACCCACAAGTTTGTTTCTCTAAAGTGCTAATTGAATAGTAATGCAGTTGTTAAATGTACAAATTTAAGCACCCACTGTCAATTTTCCCATAAATTTGCAGAATATATATGGTGTATTTTCATGTAGAGGGATCTGAGCCTGGATAGAGGAAAGAAGCATGCTGACCAGTTTGGTGGCCTGAAGAAGTTGAGTTCACAGATGTAAATAAAAGCAGCAAGCGACCACATCTGGACAATTTAATTTCAGTAATGCATTCATACAGAAATCGGAATCAACAACAGCACCCTCAAGAGGTTGACATCACAGTAGATGATTCTGCTCACAGTCCTGTGATTCCCATTCCTGTATCATCGACACCAGCTTCTGCTTTTATTTCTGATCCTCCCTCATCTGCCCCTGAAGTTTTTGCAAGCCCCATTTGCCCTCCTGCTCCTTCATCAACACCTGCTGTCACCACTTCCATTTCTGATTGTCCCTTGGCTACTCCTGAAGGTCACGTTTAACCTTCTCTTGTATTTGAGGACATTGTAAAGAAGAAATTTGGGAGTGAATCAGTTTACTGCTGTAATATGTGGCAATCTGTACTGCAAACCTGCTGTAAACTGAATCAGATCCAAACATAAATAGATGCTTAGTATTCTAGGAAAACTGAATGAAGATGTAAGCTTCCTGTTATTAATTGAACTCCTTTTTGTTCATTACTTTTTTGTGCATGTATGTGTGGCAAACAAATAAACAAACATACCATGTCATTTATTTATTTCACAATTTAATCTAGTCTAGGATGCAAGTATTTTGTTTTGAATTTACCATTCCTGAACATTCTCTATGTCATTTCATCAGCTGTCAGCTAAACTTTTAATACCAGTTGTTTAGCTAGAAGCTTGGGAAGGAAGCTATGTCCAAGCAGTTTGGTCCTACTAACTCCAAAAGGTGGATATTGTTTGTTTAAGGGTCCACTAATGCCATGCCAATTCCAGCTCTTCAGTATGATGTTCAAAAAGTTTTTTTTTCAACTTGATGATTAGGGTTGGGGCATTTAATGAGGAATCCATCATGAGGGCAAACATTCATGAGAGTTAATTAACAGCCTTTCACTATTAATATTAATTTCATTTTGTTTACCAATTTGTGATCTACCTATTAATGCAAGGTGTTTTTTCCTTTCCTAGACTGAAATTCATGCAATCATAACGCCCCAAATCGCAAGGGACATTTTAGGGTGCACAGTTAGATTGCATTGGGAGGTGAACTTAAGTTTATTTCCTCATAGCCTGGAACATTTCCCAAAGATCACTTCACGTCAGTTTATCAGCAGCAATCAGCATCAGCAGCAATCAGAATCAGCACAGACTTCCTGAGCAATAAAAAGTTCAGTAAAAGTTATTAACTTGGAATGATTATCATCATCATTGTTATTGTCACTATTATCATTATTTTCATTTATAAATTTTATTGTATTGGTTGTTATTAACTTCATATTCTATTGCTTTTAGAGATTTTCCAGCTATGTTGACCAGTCCATTTATGATCTTGGTCTGGAGCCATTCTACTCAAGTGGGGATGGAAACTGCTTTTATAATTCACTATCCATACTCATGTCTGGACATGAAAGTGACAGTGATCTTGCTCACTATAACCACATTGTTGATGCAGTAAGAACAATCAGTTATTTTTTGTTATGTTTGCTAAGCATATTAGTGTACAATTTTAATGTCTTTGTTTTATGTTTTAAGTGAACTTTAACAGAGGTCAACCTCTGGATCTCCTTTTCAAAGCTGAGACTGAGGCATGATAAATCAATCTTAAATTAATCTTTTAAAATTCATTTATTAGTTCTTTCTTTAGGTGCTTGTTTATGTGGTTGCTTGTTATACAGAAATATTTTAATCCAGCTGTTAGAGAAATTTGCTACTTTGATATTCTCAGATTACTTAGCAAGCAATATATAAGGTTGTGATTTTTTTCTTTATCCTGTAAACACTAACTGCCATTCATGTCAATTCATTTCTTTTCATCAACTTCATTAATTTTGTTTCATTGACTTCTTGCAAAATCCAAAATCCTTTGATCACTTTTGATAATTACACAATGATTTTTTGTGCACATGGTTTTCAATCATATTTGACAACTGTCCAATAAACTAATATTTGTAGTAGATGGATAGATAGCTTTATTAAAAATTCCATGGCAGCCTAATAAGGCTGAATTGCATGATTATTTACAATACCATACTGGCTAAAATTGTAGGAATAGTAGTCATCTCAGTGTCATGTTAACTGTTCCTGTAGTTACTTATAACCCTCTCTTTAGAAGTAACTAAACTGCATTTCGAAAAATTATACTCCATTCGCAATATAACTTTGAAAGGAGTTACTTTGTGCTTCTGTCATATTTCTTTTTACAGAATGCGTGGTATTTTACTGATAGAGGCAATGCTTTGCAGTGGGCAGCCAGTGTGAGCCTTTCACCAAACGAGGTTCAGGAAATTAAAGACAAGTCCATTCAGGAAATTGTCGCAAAAAGTGTCCAAAGCCAAGTCTTCAATGTCAATGCCTTACAGAATTTTACTGATATTGGTAACTAACTTGTGACTTGTTCGTTTTAAGGACTGGCTCACATTCTTTTGAATCAATTCCACATCTTTATCATCTCATTACAACCAGTTATCAGCTCGTTTCTCCAGGCAAGTTGGCATTACAATACTGACATCCGCAGTTTTTTTTAAGAACTCCTGCAGGTAACCTTTGCTGCCGGCTTTTTGAAGAAACCAAGACAACAGCACTGCGAACTGTCTAGGGCTGTCTGGTACAACACAAAACAAAGTCCTCCTTGTTGCTTCCAGCCAGACAGGGAAGAGGGGCCTTTTCACATCATCTGGCTGACACTTACAGGACAAGGAAACACCTTTAACCACATATGCCCCCTTCTGCCATGGAAGTGTGGTGCATTAGATGCTTTCTTGTGTGTTTTGGCGAGGATTTAACACCCAACATTCAAGTCGCAATGAGATGGTGCAGTGCCTTACCTGCTTTGAGTGGTACCACTGCGTTTGTTTGGGCATTTCTTTCGAAGAGGCCAAGGATTCCACCATAGTGGATTGTGGCTGCACGTTGCCCCACCCATATCGGAGCCACGACATGTGAGTGTACAGTGGAATCCCTATTTTTCGAACCTCCTGATAACTCGAACCCTTGAGATGCTGTTTCCCTTCTCTCAGTCGAACACTGTAACTTTACCCCGATTCCTAAAGCTACCTTATTATTTGAACAAAGTTTTGTTTATCTTGAATGTTGGAAAAAAAATCTTGATTCCACTGTACTTTCTCTGCTGCTTTTTTGTTT